TATTTTACATGATGTTGAAACCATATGAATTTATTCTCTAATCAAAGTACGAAGCAGTAAAACAGAGGAGTTGCAGTTCATCAGCTCCTGAGCCTTGGGCAAGACCTACAAGATCTACCCCAGCTCTTGTTCCAACAGAGCCTCTGTCATTTATAAACAAGGAGCAAATATTTACAAGTTTTATCACCTGTAATAGCTCACTGACACTTGCCAGAAACATCTTATGTCAATATTGGTATTGCAAGACACTGTGAGACAGAAAGAGTATGGGCAATTCACATAACCTCCCTTAAAACCTAGTTACTTTAAAAAGAAAAAAGAAAAAAAAGCTGGGCGTGGTGCCTCACACCTGTAATCCCAGCATGTTGGAAGGCTGAGGCAGGGCAGGTCGCCTGAGGTCAGGTGTTCGAGGCCAGCCTGACCAATACAGTGAAAGCCCGTCTTTTAAAAAAAAAAAAAAAAAAACCTAGTTACATCTTAGGCAGAGCAAAGATAAGGACAGAACTGTTGAGAAACATTGAGTTTACCCTGCCCCCATAGCTCCTTTGTGGAGGGTACGTTTTAGCTTGTAATTAGTGATAGGTGGGTAGCAGCTGCCTACTTGTTGTATTCTTGAGTTATGTGTATATGTAGAACACCTGTGTATTGATAAGAATCACCTGTCAAAGAGCAAATAAATGCGTGGATGAATCTCTGCTCCAAGCCTTCAGTTCTGGAGAGCTGCAAGTCCCAGAGGCTCTCAGGCTGTTGGTCCCCAGGGTAGAGCCACTGTGTCGACTGTCTGGGTGTCTGCCTCTCTCACTGCCTTCAGCACGCCTGGGTGGGGGTCACCCGACCAAGCTGGTTCTCAGCACAGAACAACATCACGAAATTGCTGTGACGTGCAAGTATGTGAGCATTTTCAAAAGCAGCACAAAAACAAAACAAATTCTGTGTTCAGCAGCTGAGCCACAGCTATACCTCAGCTACGGAACCTGTTGAATCTGAGCTTCCATGTTTCTCAAACCTCAGTGGGCTTAAGACCACCTGGGGAAACTGCTAAAAACACAGGCTCCAGGCTCCTCCCTCATATACAATTCAGTAGGTCAGGGGCTGTAGAAAGTAAAAAGATCCTCTTCAAAGTTTCCCTTCTTGTTAAAGAATAAATAATAAATGTTAAAAATAATGGTTTCTTTTAAAGACTAACTTCCTTCAAAGGCTTTTTTTTTTAATTTGTTTTTTATTTTTTGTTTTGTTTTGGGTTTTTTTGCTAACAACTCTTTGTTAAGCCTGTCCTATGTATCTGTTACATATAAGGGAATAAGTACATTCTATGCCCTTGTACTTTAACCAAAATACTTGTTCTGGACATGCTCAGGCATGTCCAAGCTCACAGCCTATGCCCTTTCCTTATTTGAAAATGTTACCATTTTTCTAAATTCTTTTGCAAGCAACTTCCTCTTTTTCTTTTGTTCTCCATTTCCTTTACCTATTTAGGAAAGTTTTAAGTTGTTAGCTAGCCAGTGGGGTTTAGCTTAAACTGTGAGGGCCAGCTCCAACCAGCAGAGATAGGACACAGCAGTAAGGACCCAATGCATACAGGATAAATATTCCTGCCTGTATTTGTTCATTGTGCTCTTGTGGCAGGATTGCTGATGGACAGCACCCTTTCTGCAGAAAGTAAAATTGCCTTTCTGAGAAAACTTTTTGTCTGAATGCTAATTTTTTCTTGCAGCACCAAGGAACAAACATTTTGTTTCTAACAGGGGCCCCTGAACTTGCATTTCCACCATGCTTTGTATCTCAGATGATGCTGATGGGGCTGGTGCAAGGACCACATTTGAGTCATCTGCTCCAGGGAAGGGTTCCTCAAACTGTGCCATGCAGACATATTATCTAGAATCTTGTTAAAATGTATAGACTCTCATTCAGAAGGTCTGGGTTAGCATCTGGGATATTGCATTTCTCTCTTTTTTTTTTTTTTTTTTGAGAAAGGATTTTGCTCCATTGCCCTGGCTAGAGTACAAGGGCATGATCACAGCTCATAGCAGACTCAGACTCCTGGGTGCAAGCAATCCTCCTACCTTACCTCCCTGGTAGCTGGGACTGCAGATGTGCACCACCACACCTGCCAATTTGTTAAGAGACAAAGTCTCATTGTATTGCCCAGGCTAGTCTCAAACTCCTGGCCCCAAGCAATCCTCCTGCCTCAGCCTCCCAGAGCACTGGGATTACAGGGGTGAGCCATCATTCCCAGCTGGACTCTGCATTTCTTTTTTCTTTCTTTCTTTTTTTTAGACAGAGCCTCATTCTGTCACCCAGGCTGGAGTGCAGTGGCTCAATCTCAGCTCACTGCAACCTCTGCCTCCCAGGTTCAAGCGATTCTCTTGCCTTAGCCTCCCAAGTAGCTGGAACTACAGGTACATGCCACCACGCCTGGCTAATTTTTGTATTTTTAGTAGAGATGGGGTTTCACCATGTTGGCCAGGCTGGTTTCGAACTCCTGACCTCAGGTGACCTAACCCTCCATGGCCTCCCAAAGTGTTGGGATTTCAGGCGTGAGCCACTGCACCTGGCTGGACTTGGACTCTGCATTTCTGACAAGCTCCCAGGTGCTGCAGATACCACTGGTCTGCAGACTACACTTTGAGTACCAAGGTTCCAGAATAGCCAACTCCAGTTGTTTCACAGTTGAGGAAACCGTGCCTTTACAAAGGTAAGTGACTTGCCCAAGGGCACTTGCACAGTAAGGGCAGAGACCAGGTGAGGCCCCATCCAGTGTGGCCGCCATGCCTCAGGAATGCCGCTCCACCCCTGACTCCATGTCCCCAGGTCTCTGCTACAAGCTTGCCTGAACCAAGAAGGGATGCCAGCCCTTCAGAATATGGCATTGAAATTTACTAAATCATGCACAGTCCTTTACTCTCCTGAGAAATCAACCACTTACACAGAGATTAGTTCAAACCACCAGCCTCTGCAAAATACTTTTGACAAAATTATTTCTTCAGTTGTGTCACCTTCACTTCTGATGACTCACACCTTTGACAGGCCCTGTTGTGAGAACCTGAAGAGGACATGCATTTCTCAACACATGTGGTCTGAGGCCAGACACGGTGGCTCACACCTGTAATCCTAGCACTTAGGGAAGCTGAGGTGGGCAGATCATTTGAGATCAGGAGTTTGAGACCAGCCTGGCTAACATAGTGAAACCCCATCTCTACTAAAAATACAAAAATTAGCTGGGTGTGGTAATCCTAGCTACTCAGAAGGCTGAGACAGGAGAATTGCTTGAACCTGGGAGGCGGCGGTTGTAGACAGCTAAGATCACCCCACTGCACTCCAGACCAGGCAACAGAGCAAGACTCTGTATCCCAAAAAAAAAAAAAAAAAAAGTGTTCTAATTGTGGGGAGAAGCAGAAATGGGGTGGGGAAGCTGATCTTGGGGAAGTGAGGAATCCCTCCTGAGCCCCAAAGGCTCCAAACTGACACCCTGTGCATTTTTTCCAACTCACTTTATCCCCCATCAAAAAGTTCATTCAGTTAGAGATTGATGTGGGTTAACAAGCATTTTCTTTCCAGGATCCATTGTTTCTGGGGAGGTTCTGAGCTGACAATCTTTCACACTTAAGTGAGAATTATTCTAATATGGAGGGAAAGGGAGCAGAATTAAGGAAATTAAAGTCTCTGGAGTAATCATGGCAGAGTGGGCCTTGCCTGAGATCCAGAGGTGGATGCGGAAGCACGGCCTTGGGTGAACCACAGCCTGGCCTCGGCCTCTGCACCGCATTCACCGGCAGGTCCCTCTCGTCCCCAGCCCCCAGTGCCTTCAGGCTTCGAGTAGTTTGTGGGCCTGGCTCTGCCGTTAACTTGCTGTGTGACTTGAGGAAATCACACAGCTTTAGAGACTCTTAAAGCTGGAAGGAAATACCCCCAGGGGTCACTGGTTCCATGATACAGAACCCCAACTTCTAGACTACAGAACACATAGCCCCTACTGGCCTGTCTGAGGCTGGCTTTCCCAGAAGCCAGCCTAAGACAGGCATTGGGCTTCACATGATTAATGAAGGGAGGGAACCTCAAGAGAGAAGGCTATTTTTTTTTAGACAGAGGCTCTCTGTATTGCCCAGGCTGGAGTGCGGTGGTGCAATCATGACTCACTGCATCGTTGACCTCCTGGGCTCAAGCAATCCTCCTGCCTCAGCCTCCGGAAGAGCTGGGACCACAGGTGTGTGCCACCACAACCAGCTAATTTTTTTTTTTTTTTTAAGACAGAGTCTCGCTCTGTCACTCAGGCTGGAGTGCAGTGGTGTGATTGTGGCTCACTGCAACCTCTGCCTCGTGAGTTCAAGCAATTCTCCCGTCTCAGCCTCCAGAGTAGCTGGAATTACAGGTGCCTGCCACCATGCCCAGCTAATTTTTGTATTTTTAGTAGAAATGGAACTTTACCATGTTAGCCAGGCTGGTAATTTTTTTTAATTTTGTGTAGATATGGGGTTTCACCATGTTGCCCCAGGCTGGAATCAAACCCCTGAGCTCAAGCAATCCACCTGCTTCAGCCTCCCTAAGAGCTGGGATTACAGGTGTAAACCACTACATCCAGCCTGAAGGCTATTTATTTATTTATTTTTAGCAGTTTTTAAAAGGAGGGTTTATTTGACAAGTTTCACTTAGCACAACATACCCAAAAGGAAATCACAATACAATGAAAGATTTAAATCTAGGCCTCAGCATTTCATTCAAACACCAAGACCAAAATCCTAAAGTATTAGTATTGCGTCTCAAATTTTTTCCATTAACTTAAAAAAAAAAAAAAAACTTAAACTTACGTGCCTTACAGGTTATTAAATGAAACTAGAATTAACAAACATGCCAAAATGTTTCACTTTTAATTGTAGACACAGCTCCTACATAGAGTTTTTTAAAAAAGCATGTCTTTCAACATGTATCCAGTGTTCAATGTAAGGTAGCAAAGGGCAACATTTAACATAATTCATCCTATCTGGAACCCTAACAGTTATAGATTACTCAGCTTCACTGTTACATCCTAGATGATTACTGTATTCAAAAGTACTGAGCCTTAAGTCTTCATAACAATCCTGATTTCCACTTAGAGAATAAGCATAAATCACAAGCTTGTACTGCAGAAACTGTTAAGCTGAAGTTTTGTTATTTTCTTTAAAAAAAAGTTGACCAAGAGTCAGTGATCATGATCAATCAGTTACAGTCCCATCCACCACTCACACTGGACATGCTAGTCATCCCTCCCATGCCATTCACACCCATAGATGCACGGCTTCCACTACTGTAGTAGCTGCGATTCATTGCTCCTCGGCTACCTGTGCAATGTTTGATTGAAAATCATTAAGGCCGGGCGCGGTGGCTCAAGCCTGTAATCCCAGCACTTTGGGAGGCCGAGGCGGGTGGATCACGAGGTCAAGAGATCGAGACCATCCTGGTCAACGTGGTGAAACCCCGTCTCTACTAAAAATACAAAAAATTAGCTGGACATGGTGGCGCATGCCTGTAATCCCAGCTACTCAGGAGGCTGAGGCAGGAGAATTGCCTGAACCCAGGAGGCGGAGGTTGCGGTGAGCCGAGATCGCGCCATTGCACTCCAGCCTGGGTAACATGAGTGAAACTCCGTCTCAAAAAAAAAAAAAAAAAAAAAAAGAAAGAAAATCACTGGAGTTTTCTTGTAAAACTTGATTGTATCCACTCATGCTGCGCTGGCTACCATAGCCACCTCCATAACCACCACCCAGCTGCTGGCTGGCTGGGCCACCATAACTGGACTGGTTTGACATTTATGACATTTATAATTTATTTTCACCGCTCAATCCTGTGAGAGTACACGTTGAAATTGGTCCTAATGGCAGAGTAACTGGGGAAGCAGATCCCGAGCTTTAGCAGAGCTCATGCCTCTCACCATTTGGCTACCAGAAGCACCACCGCTTTCTCCTGCTGTAGTATTCGAGTTCTGCATAGCTGTGTTGTATATTTGCTTTGTCTTTTGACACAGCTGCTGCAGCATCTTCATGAGTTGCAAACTCAACATCTACTTCCCCAGTTACTCTGCCATCAGGACCAATTTCAATGTGTACTCTCACAGGATTGAGCGGTGAAAAGAAATTATAAATGTCATTTTCAGTTTCTGTAAGGTAATCCACGCACGTGCACTCAGTGTCCTGCTGTGCTCTGAGAAGTAGAGCCACCATCCCCGTATCTGTGATCGACATCCCTGAAAAACAGTCATTGAGGTCTCTTCCAAATCTATCTGACCCAAAGCTCTAGCCATCATTATAGCCACTGTCATCATCAGAGCCTCCACCATAAGCACCATGCCTCATCCTCTCAAAGCCAGCTCCTCTGCCAACACTGTTATACCCTCTGCCAGCCCCAGGTCTGTCATAGGGAGCTGGCCGCTGCATGACCACAAGCTTTCATGGTGGATCATAGTGAGTTCTAACTTCAGCTCTACTGCTCTTAAAGATTTCAAGATACCTGAGCCCTATTCTTTCCCTGTGTTTCTTTAGAGCCTTCTCAGCTATTTCCTGTGAAGCAAACTGCACAAAGGCCTTCCTCGTCCTCCTCCCCTGGAAGTCCACTGGGGATGTTATCCCGTCTGGCATGATTTCCAACCCTGAGAAGAACTGAACCATTTCTTCCTTGCTATAGCCAAAGGAAAAGTGCTCTAAGCCGTACAAAGTCATCAGTGACCGTGTCAGGACTATGGACCAGCATGCTTCAACACCCAATCCATGTACATGTTGTCTGATGAATACTTCAAACCTGGGTCCCATAGTTTCTCTGTCTTTTTGCAGGGCCAATTTCACTTCATCTTCTGATTCAAGTTCAACAAAAGCCTGGCCACACAGTCTGCCTTCTCTGGTGCAGATGGAACAAATACCTTAAGCCCCATTTTGAATTTCACAGTCAAAAAAAAAAACCTCTGCATTTCGTCGAACGAGCAAGATCAGTGCAAGCCCCGAAGCTTCACCGCAAACCCCTCTCCACCTTCGGTGCTCAACATCATCATCCCATGCAGTCCGACAGTGAAAACAAACGACCCACCCGACTTCAGCGTGGCTAAGACCAAATGGCCCCCTGAAAGCTATTTTTTAAATAGCACCATAGTGTTGTACCATTTGAGGCAAAGAAGTCAGGCTTTTGCTTCCCTAATTCACTCAGTGGCCCCCCTGCAGGTGTAGAGTGGTATAAACTCCCAGGTATCTCCGGCAAGGTGAGAGAAGGACACTGATCTGCCATCCCTGGCAGCCCTTACTAGGAAGCAGGAACAACAGTGAGTTCAGGAAACCTGAGGGCACCAATCCTTCCTTCCAGTTCCGAGAGCCTCTCACATGTGTTTCAAAATACGAAGCCCCCAAGCCCAGGAGTTTGAGACCAGCCTGGGCAACATGGAGAAACTCATCTTTACTAAAAACAGAATAATTAGCCAGGCGTGGTGGCGCGCACCTATAGTCTCAGCTACTCAGCAGGCTGAGGTGGGAGGACGGCCTGAACTCGGGACGTGGAGATTGCAGTGAGCTGAGACTGCGCCAGGCCACTGTACTCTAGCGTGGGCCCCACAGCGAGACCCTGTCTCAAACAACAACAAAAAAAAAAAAAGGAAGGAAGGAAGGGAGGAGGAAGGGAGGGAGGGAGGGAGGGGAAAGAGAGAAAAAAGAAAGGAAGAAAGGAAAGAGGAGGAAGGGAGGAAGGAAGGAAAGAAGGAAGGAAGGGAAGGGAGAGAGGGAGGGAAGGGAAAGAGAGAGAAAGAGAGAGAAAGAAAGAAGGACAGAAAGAAAAAGGAAGGAAGGAAAGAAAGGAAAGAAAGAGAAAAGGAGAAACAGAGGGAGGGAGAGAGGAAGGAAAGAAAGAAGGAAGGAAGAAAACCCAAATCACAAAGGATGAAAGAGGAGGAAAAAATGCAAGCATTTTCTCATTTCCAGAAGAATCTTGGAATCTGCCCTCGGAATCAACCCTAACTGCTCCCCGTGGCTTCCCGGCAGGCTGGAGGCGGCCCCTCCCTCCTCTCGCCCCAGCTCCACCCACTGTCCCGCACCCAGGGCTGCTCCCTAAGGACTTTGCCTTCTCTCTTACTGGAATATTCCACAAGAGATTTCTCCCCAGCTGGTTTCTTCTTGACAACTCAAACATCCCCTCCATAGAGATGGCTTCTCTGGCCAGCAGGCCACCCCCGTCACACCCTCTGAGGCACTCCGCACAGCACTGACCCCTGGACATTATCCTGTGTTCAGTTGTGTGTGGTGTGTCTGTCTCTCATTCACACAGTTGTATGTAAATGATCTCCCTGGGGACAGAGCCTGGTTCTGGTGTCATCACTGCAGCCTCAGAGCCTGGCATCTGCTTGGCACATTGGAAACCCTATAACATCTAGCAAATCATATCTGAGTGAATAAATTGGACCCATGGGCCAGAGGCCAAAATTCCAGCCGCGAAGAACTAGGTCAACTGAACACTCAGTACTCCAAGACGCTGGAGGAAAGCAGGGCACAAGACCAGGATGAGGAAGAAGGAGAGAATCCACCAAGAGTTTTCTTGGCTCTTTGATTCCTCCCTCCTCTTCCTGGTCCCTCTCTCAGCTCTACCTTGGAAAGACAATCACCTTTTTTTTTTTTTTTTTTTTTTGAGATGGAGTCTCGCTCTTTCACCCAGGTTGGAGTGCAGTGACGTGATCTCGGCTCACTGCGACCTCCACCTCCTGCATTTAAGCGATTCTGCTTCCTCAGCCTCCCAAGTAGCTGGGATTATAGGCGCCCACCATGCCCAGCTAATTTTTGTATTTTTAGTAGAAACTGGGTTTCGCCATGTTAGCCAGGCTGGTCTTGAATTCCTGACCTCAAGTGATCCACCTGCCTCAGCCTCCCAAAGTGCTGGGATTACAGGCATTAGCCACCAAGTCTGGCCTGACATTCACATTGTAAATGGTGCAAACCTCTCAAAATATCTAGGGGCATCTGGGTTCCAGTTCTAGCTATAGATCTGAGCCTCCCTCTCCCCACTGGCACCTGCAAGAGGCACAGTGACCATGCCAGCTTCATGGGGTTGCTGGGAGCACTGGCCTCGAGGGTAACATCAGTCACTCAGACACAGGCCTCTGCAAATTGAAACCAAGGCAGGATAAATCCCTACCCCTCAGATCAGCCATTCACCTCCTGGCTGCGGTCCCAGACAGTCTGCCTCAGTGTGCCTGTCTCTGGCATCTGTGAGATCCCCTAATATCCCCCAGCATTTCCCAGGTGCCAGGCACTGTGCCAGGCATTTGGTATGCACTTGTTTGCTTGATCTGCGCAGTGGCGTCAATTTATCCTAGGAGTCCCACACCTCCAGGTGTCATTATCTCCATTTTACAAACAGAGGACTACAGCTGAGAAATGAAGGCACTGGTCCCAGGACTTACAGTTTTCAAGCTGTGGCATCAGATTCAAGAACCCCACCTTCAGGCTGAGCACAGTGGCTCACACCTGTAATCCCAGCACTTTGGGAGGCAGAAGCAGGCAGATCACCTGAGGTCAGAAGTTCAAGACCAGCCTGGTGAACATGGCAAAACCGCATCTCTACTAAATACACACAAATTAGCTGGGCATGGTGGCACACACGCTACTCAGAAGGCTGAGGCAGGGAGAATTGCTTGAACCCAGGAGGTGGAGTTTGCAGTGAGCTGACATGGCACCGCTGCACTTCAGCCTCGGCAACAGAGCAAGAATCCATCTCAAAATAAATAAATAAATAAAAATAATTTTAAAAATAAATAAAAATTTAAAACCCCGCTTTCATCTCATTTATTTAAGTAGTTTATCATCATTGGCTCATGTCATATGGCAGCCCTGAAAGAAAGGCAATGATTACCTCCATTTTACAGAGAAGGAGACCTCCAACCAGGTCTGAGCGGCGCCCGCCATTCCTTCAGCCTTCCTCGCTGCCTGAGCTCTCCCCGCTCCAGCACCAGCTCCACTTCCCAGGTGAAGAGAATGAGGCAAGAGGCTGAGCTGCAGGTCTGCACACCAATCCCACGATGAGCCCCAGGTGCCTCCCCAGGCAAGAAAGTAGGCAGCAGAGCCCGCCCCACCTGCACCTGCTGTGGGAAGCAGTCTTCTGCATGACCTTGGCCTAAGGCTCACCTGGGCTGAATCACCTGAGCTACTCAGGGTTCACAGTAGAGGCTGCGGTGTCTGGACATCAGCCCTCTCCCCACCCTTAATCTGTGTCTCCTCCCTCCCTCTACCGGATGACCAGGCCCAAAGCTGGGTTTTACTGGGGAACCAGACTCACCATGTTCTAGGGACCTAGATCCCTCTATCCTAAACTCCTAATCCCATATGCAATTTCAGGAACGAAGAATTCATTTAATATTTGAAAATCAAGGCCAGGTGTGGTGCCTTAAGCCTATAATCCCTGCACTTTCGGAGGACGAGGCAGGTGGATCACCTGAGGTCAGGAATTCAAGACCAGCCTTGCCAACATGGTAAAACCCTGACTCTACTAAAAATACAAAATCTTTAGCTGAGCGTGGTGGTGCGTGCCTGTAATCCCAGCTACACAGGAGGCTGAGGCTCCAAAAGGGCTTGAACCCGGGAGTCAGAGGTTGCAGTGAGCCGAGATCACGCCACTGCGCTCTAGCCTGGGCAACAGAGTGACACTCCATCTCGAAAAACAAAAACAAAATAAATCATTGTAATTCACCACGTTAACAAACTGAAAAAAAAAAAAAAAAAAAGGCCAGGTGTGATAGCTCACGCCTATAATCCCAGCACTTTGGGAGGCTGAGACGGGAGGATCACCTGAGGTCAGGAGTTTAACACCAGCCTGGCCAATATGATGAAAACCGCACCTCTACTAAAAACACAAAAGATTAGCCCGGCTTGGTGGCAGGCTCCTGTAATCCCAGCTACTTGGGAGGCTGAGGCAGGAGAATTGCTTGAACCCGGGAGGTGCAGGTTGCAGTGAGCTGAGATTGCACCACTGCACTCCAGCCTGGGCGGCAGAGCAAGACTCCATGGAAGGAAGGAAGGAAGGAAGGAATCTCATTGTAAAAATAAAAAAGAACCTCAATAAGCTGTTTTCTTAAATTGCATCTAAACTGAGTTATCGAGAAAAGGCTAACTCATAAAGGCAGAAAGTAAAATAGAGGTTTCCAGGGCTGGGGAGAAGATGGAAGAGGAGTTGTTTAGTGGGTAGAGTTTCATCTGGGACGATGAAAAGGTTCTGGAACTGGATAGCGGTGATGATCACACAACACAGTGAATGCACCGATGTGACTGCACATCACTTCATGCCTGGGCACCAGGCCAGGAGCTCCTTATCAGACTTTGCCTAACTCCTTTCTGTCTCCTGACTTTTCAAGTCCAATCTGGACCGGGCATGGCTGATCCACTGCCAGGGACTGGGGCTGAACCGGTTCCCTTTTTACTAATTCAGAAATGGCCCTAGTGGAGAACAATGGGGAAAATGGAACTCTTGGTGAACAAGGCATCTTTGTTTCAACTGTGTTGTTGGCAGACAGAGCACAGACTGTGGAGACTTGGGCAGACACCCACAGGCTGCCAAACGCCTGGTTTTGGTTTCCACTTCCTGACTTGGGACCTAGAGAGCAAATCATTTCCTTTCTCCAGGCCTCAATTTACCCATCTGAACAATGGAACTTGAGAAGCTCCTCCTCAAACTCGGTGGAGCCAGGGATGCAAGGGAAATGCATGTTTGCAGAGGTCCCCACTTGTGAGGACCATCTTGGGCACACAAGGCTTCTTTGTCTGCAAAGGTTTGTCCCCAGGTTTGGCCTCACATTTTTTTTTATTTTGGATTCAAGTCTTGCTCTTCAAAGGACACTAGCGGGGACATCACTGCCCCTCCCAGGGCCTGGCTTACAGGCTCTGCTGTTCTGATTCATGATCAGATTTGTTGTTACACCTTCCAAAGCCATGGGCAACTGTAATTAAACAATCAATCATTCATTCATAATTTCACATCTTTCTCCTCCACTGGAGCATCAGCCCCACTGAAGTCCAGCACCTAACTCAGAGCCTTATTGTGCTAATTAAAGCAATTAACACAGCCAGGCCACAGTCAATGGCTGGCATGTCTTTCCTGCTAACATGTATCAATCAGAGAAAAAATTGTGATATGTCCATACTATGGAATCTACTCAGCAATAAAAAGAATCAGGCAGTTGCAGTGGTGCACACCTCAATCACAGCCCTTTGGGAGGCCAAGGCAGGAGGATCACCTGAGCCCAGGAGTTCGAGACCACCCTGGGCAACACGACGAGAACCTGTCTCTACAAAAAAAATTTTTTTTAATTATCTGGGCATGGTGGTGCAGACCTGTGTAGTCCCAGTTATTCAGGAGGCTGAGGTGGGAGATAATATGAGGCCAGGGGGTTGAGGCTCAGTGAGCCAAGATCATGGCACTGTACTCCAGCC